TTCGACGGGGAGGACCCAGAAAGCGAAGCAGGAACGGGCGAAGTCGCAACGCTCCGTGATCCGGAGGGCGACCTTAGGGTGGCGGCTCCGGCGGGGTCAATGTTAGCAGAGGCCATTCGGCTATGAGAGACCCGTTCGTTAGGAGAAGTCATTCCTGCGCCAGACGGATTTTTGATCATTGACGCAAGACGCTCTTTACTACTCCCCCTTGACAAAGGAACCGAACCTTCCACAGAATGGTGGGCACTACCATCCGATCCCGATGGCAGTGGTGCAGTCAGCACGTGGTGGGCAGCAGAGGAAGACGCATTCGTATCAGGTGCTGTCACATGGGGGCAGCGGACGGTCGGAGACAACGAAAGCTGCGAAAGAGAAGGAGGATCGACGGGGTTCCCGACGAGTGTAGAAGAAGGCTCGTGTGCGATCCGAGAAGAGGCCCGGCTGACAACACCAGGAGAGATTTGACGAATAGTAGAAGACGAGGTTCTTGTTCTTTCTGTAACCCGAGACGACGAGGTGAGCAGGGACGGACCGCTCGACGTCTTACCTCCCTGTCGCCCACACCACAAAGGTACTGCCGAAATGGGTCTGTCATGTTCATTACCAGCAGGCGATGAGGCGGACGACGAGGAGGCCGGCCGAAAAACTAGATGTGATGTAGGAGCGTGGGGAGTATCCAAAAAAATAGGCTGTACACGAACATCTTGGGAGACTCCAAAAGAGTGCACGGTGGTTGCTGTTGACGGTAGTACCGGCTGAACTCCGCCATCGGCTTGTCATTTCTTACCCCTCCAGCCCCTTTTTGTCGAAGTGGAAGCGTCCGACGAGTGCTCTGTGTGTGAGGACTGTTTCGTGTCCGATGTGTCAGATGAGCGGCGGGCGCGTCCTAAGGGGTGATTTCGATGTGGGTTGCGTCCCGTAGGGCGTCTATACGAGGTCATGCGCTGTTTCCACCGACCTCAAAGGGTGGGATCTTTTTCCATACAGAACTTGATGTCATTGTTAAGCAAGCCGGTGGCGTTCACGAAACCACGATAGCAGGATTTGAAGGAGTGGTCTTCGCCCAAGCAGTTGAGGCACTTGCCCTTGTACAGTCGAAGCGCGTTGCGGCGCTCTTCAGCCGAGACCAAGGGGGTGAACAATGGCGGATCATTCTTGGTTAGAGCCATCTCACTAGCGACGTTGTACACCTCTTGGAAGTGTCCTTGCAACGGCCAGTCGCTGTAGTGCAACAGAAAAGGGTCCCGATCATCATTAGGTAGAGGGTCAACACTCATCACGGCGGCCGAAGAACCTTGGCTCCACGAAGGGGTCACCGTCGAACGCAACGCCGAAGAAGCTACAGCACGCGAAACAGCAGACGAACTCCTAGCAATCGTGGAAGATACCGAAAAGAAATCATCTCCATGCACCGCCGGCATGTGCGCGAACGCACGCTTGTCCAACATATTCCACATATCATCCAGACACGAAGCATGTCGCACAAAAGGGGCTTCCATGGAGATACGGCGTTCGTGTCCCGCCCGCTGGAGATGCCTGGAGAAGGTGTCACCTTCCACGATGAGGACAGATTTGAAACCTGTTGTGATCTCACGCGCGGGTTCAAATCCCGTCGCTGACGCCATATCCGAAGGTGTACCGATTGAGGTAAAAGTCAATCGACGGATACCCTGCGAATCGGGTCCTCCTCAACACTCTCCACCCACAGAATTTACCCTCAACTGGGAACCTCTTGTGGCCAGGATGGGTACTTCGATGGAAGTTTCACAAGGTTCTTTACAGGATCGACTCCAAGAGGTGTTCTCAGGACTGACACACGTTGTGTCCATGGGAAAATGTCCAAATCAGGAGAAAAAGTGTGCACCCAAGGAGATTCGAACCAGTATCCTGCCGCTGACGCCAAGTTTCAAGGAGTGATGCCGTGGGCGGTAGCTTGCTCCTAGAGATAGATGAAGGTTCTGTCGTTGACACGCTTGTCCACGACCACGTTGAGATGGGAAAGTTGCTTGTTATTGCTGAGAGACGATCAGCAAAGGTCTGGGATGAAATGGGGATCCAACTTCATCTCAGGGGGTACAAAGAGTAGACAACTCCAAGGGGGTAGGGGTCAGAAGGGTATACCTCCTGGCCGACCTGCATCCTATCAACAACAAGATGTACCCTATTCATGCTAGCACCCACACTGCTCAACAGATTCTGGTGAAAGTGGAATTGCCGCAGAGAAGCAAGGGCGAGACCGCGAAATCTGCTGTGCTTTTGAACGAGGGCCAACAACGACGCGGTGTTGCCGCGGGACGCTTCGTTCTGGTTGAGATTCGTGAGAAATATTGAATGATTTTGCTTGTGACGAATAATGCCGAAAATTTCTACAGGGGATTCGCGGTTAAGGCGTTTCCATTCTGATTTGGTGTTCGAAGAGTGATGGTAGCTTCGCTTACGATGATACAACCAATGATGATTTTCGAAAGGGGATTCGCGGTTCAGGCGTTCCCAATCTTGAGTGTGGGTGCTTTGTTGAGCAATTACTTTTTCGATGGTAAAGTCCAGGCGTGTTGTCGCGGGTGTTTCGTGCGACGATGGTAATTCGGCTCCCAAAACCAGCCACTTTATTATGGGGATTCCTTCGCGGTACAGGCGCTTCGATTTCATTATGTCCGCGGGCGATGAAAACTTTGTCTGGGGCAGAATACAAGGGGTACGCGGGACCAGGCGTATCAACGGAGGGGATGCAGCATAGGCGCTCCCCACAACCGATGAAAGTCCACACATAGAGGCAAACCAGTATCTAGCGTTTCGGCTGAAGAGAAGGGGTACACACAGGACCAGGTGCAGATGAGGGGATGCAGCATCGGTGCTCCTGGCAGCCGATGAACACTCACCCACAGAGGTAAACCAGTATCTAGCGTGTCGGCTGAAGAGAAGGGGTATTCAGGACCCGGTGTATCAATTCAGGGGATGCAGCAGAGGCGCTCCCCGCGGCCGATGAAAACTCACGCACAGAGGTAAACCAGTATCTAGCGTGTCGGCTGAAGAGAAGGGGTATTCAGGACCCGGTGTATCAATTCAGGGGATGCAGCAGAGGCGCTCCCCGCGGCCGATGAAAACTCACGCACAGGGGTAAAACAGTATCCAGCGTGTCGGCTGAAAAAAAGGGGAGGACGCAGTTGTAGGTGACATTTCCGTTGTTACTGCAGATAGGTGTGAACCCATGTACCAGACGCATCGACCTTATTGAGGGATTCGCAGTAGCAAGGCGTCTCCACAATCTATATCAGTGTCTTGTAGAAGGGGTAAAGCCCTATGATGAGAATCACTGTGTTTGTCTTGTAGGAGGAAAGGAAGCCTCAGCAACGATAAATTCTCGATGCAGTAGATAGTCAGGCGTGTTTTCTGCGAGCGTTGAATGAAGGAGGTATTGCGTGTGGCGTACCACTCGCAGCAAAGAGCGAGGGACGTTATCACACGACATCATGGACCGCAGTTTTCTTCGAGTAAGGGAGAGCAGTCAAATCGACGCGTGCTGTATGGCGGTTGAGAATTGGAACTTTTTTTTTTCTGAGAGTCGAAGAGTTGTGTGTAGGCAGGCTGATGTTTGAAGCTTTGTATGCAAGAAGGCTTACCATGCTTGATGTGTTGGACAAAACAGCTGTCCCAGGATGATAGCATACACCACATTCCCGGGGGCGCCGCGAAGCGCCGGAATCAAGGGGTAGGGAGGAAGTAAGGTGCTCAGATCATCGATAGTTGTTCGTCGAGCGGGGAGGGCAGAAGGAGTAAATTTCAACGGACTTCTGTTTGGGCTTAAGGGGAGTAAAATCGTCAGTGGTTGCAGACTTTTTGGACTTTGTTGGGTGCTAGGAAGGTGATATTGAAACGTGGCGGGAAGCTTTCCCGGATCGATTACGTTGCCGGAGTCATCCTGTTTGCGACTTTTATCGTGCTTTTTCGGAGTACCGTCCCTAGGAGGGAGGCGTTTTGACACGGTGGCCGGGTTTCCCCTGAGGTTTATTGATTTGTTGCTTTTGCCGAAAAACCTGACTTGAGGTGGCGGAAGCACGCATCCCACAGCAGTGGTTAGTGACTTTAGCTTAAAAAACCCGGGAGGGTGTTCGTGTGAGTGCATAGTGCAGTCGGATCTGTAGACGAGATGACTGTTTCAGGTGCCCTGCACATAAGGGTGCGTTGGTAGTACGACCAGAAAGTGATTGTGCGGAGCCCCCACGTCAGCTGTCGTGGGCGTGGCATTCCCTGCTCTTTCCCTCCAACCGGGTGTGAGAAATAACAAGTATCTCAACATCAAGCAATACAGTCTCTACGAAGGCAACAAGGGCATACCACTTCGGTTGACGAATAAAGCCATCAGGATACCTTTTGGTCTCCGCCGGGACAGTGATAACTACTGGTGTTCCTCGGTGCGACGCTGAAATACGCTCGTTTATTTTTGTTTCACAAGAATGAGATAAATATATGCCTACTTGGACTTTCCTCCTTCTTCCGCTGCCGGCTATGCAGTATATTAGTTGACCAAGTACAAACTGGTGTACTGTAGTTGTTTTCAACATGATGTGCATTATATTTCAAGTATTGTAAATATGTTCGACGTCAACAAACGGTTGCCAGTCGTCTCGGCGATGCTGACATTCGCACCACCCTCTTCCTTAGCAAAAGACGTAGTTTGGGGTATAGCATGCCTCCATTGGCCCCGGGGATGGTGAGCTATCGTNTATTAGTTGACCAAGTACAAACTGGTGTACTGTAGTTGTTTTCAACATGATGTGCATTATATTTCAAGTATTGTAAATATGTTCGACGTCAACAAACGGTTGCCAGTCGTCTCGGCGGTGCTGACATTCGCACCACCCTCTTCCTTAGCAAAAGACGTAGTTTGGGGTATAGCATGCCTCCATTGGCCCCGGGGATGGTGAGCTATCGTCCCCTGAATTTTAAGGGCGCAACCCCGCTTTAAGGACGCTATATTTCAGGAAAAACCATGTGCGTCCTTACAGCGGGGTCGACTGTATCCGACATACCGAGAACACTCTCGGTTCAATGCATCATCCACGAAGCACATTCTTCCAGGGACATCCCTACAAAACGACAGTACCGTCGTTTGAACTGTCCTATAAGTGTTCTACGTTACTCTCTCGAAACACAGCAGCAACTATCACGAACAAATCGTCGTGAGCGACCTCCCAGATTCAACGGTCCTCATGCCATTGATCGATCCCTAACCCAGCGTTCTTTCGAAAAGAAATGTCCCTGAGTGAGCCCACAACACCCATGCATATCTTGTCCGGTTCGTAGCCTGCTTGTTCGTATGTCGCCCGCTGGACGCTACTGAATCTGCCAAGCGACTCATCAGAAATCACCACCAGCGATTGTTCACACGCAGCAAGGGTCATCATTCTGTGCGATCGGCGTGATCATGGATGGAATACTAATCAAATACAGCAGATATGTAGTGCTGGATCCCAAAAGGGACTCACTACTTGAATACCGGGACAACACGCCCATCTACATACTTCATATCACTTTGAATACACCCCGAGACCCTTGCTTCGAACTTCACATGAAACCTGTTTCCCAGCCCAACATTGAATTCACATGTAAAGTTCACATGACAGCGGTACACATGTGCACCTCCTCTATCACTGCCAAACACAACCAACCATGGCCGGATGCAGCACAGATGGCTAAACTTCTGAACCAATCATAAAGGGAGTAATCCCACAGCGAGACTGTGACTGTGGTCCCCTACCGAAAACACTCCACACTCACGCCACTCGTGGCGGAAGACCCAGGATATCGCAAGAGGCGCGCCTGAGCCACAGTAGACCATACACACGCGTTGGTTCGCAACTTTACCTCTCCTCACATACCAGGTACTTTCGAGTGCGCATGCCAAAAAAGTTAGGTGACCCAGGAGCAAGCACCATGCAAGTGAGCTGACTGGGTGCCGTGCTTAGGGGGCACTCGCCTCTGCGAGTTTCATCTCGAAGCCTGAGCTTTACAACGAGAGAGGTCCACCCCCGGACAACCTTCGTTAAGATTACACTGTTTCGACAAAGACGGGACATCCATCCTGCCTCCGAAGAGGGGAAGGCGGCAGCCAAACAATCTACAGCAGTTCTGACCACTCCTTCAACGTCTAGGTGGACAGAGTCTAGTTGGAAGCTTCGTGGGCATGTGCTTCGCCTTCATACCTTGACGTAACACGTGCCCTCCAGAACGAGCTCATCTTCGTCGGCGTCAATCGTCACCGTGCTGGGGTCGTCGGTCTGTTGGGCATGCAAAAGTAGCGCGAGGGGGACCATAAGACAGGTGTTGCGTTTCGGCTGGCTGGGGGGGGGTACTCATAGTCGTGCATGCCGTAGTCGTTAGACCATTGACCTCGCAACCCTACAAAGCCGGGACAGAGCACGCCGGGTTCTCACCGGACCAGGCTCTTACATCACCAAGCGCGAAGCGCCGTGAGATTTTCGGCGAGTCGCGTGAAGGGTGCGCTGCATCCTGCTAAGGGTATTCGGCATCTTGTGCTTAGTTCCTTGCATACGGATGACAGCTGCGTATCGCTTAATATATTTTCTGGTGCTTTCACTTCCAGAGACAGTTGTAAGCATTGTGTAACTGCC